TCACCAATTTTTTTGGTCATAACCAGAAGATTGACCTTTTTTTAGGGAATGCCATCATAGCGTTTATATTTCATGTGAAAGTAAAGATACATCGTTTGATAAAACGTCTACTAGAAACCCCGGAGGCTCTAACTTCCAGAAAATTGTTCGAGAAGTCTCCGAGTTCCTAGACAATACATCTGCCGCCATATTGGCCTCCCTAGGACAGTGATAAAAACATATCAAAATAAAATTGCGAGCTAAAAAAGAGCATTCTTCATAGATTGCCGCCGCTGGGCCGAGGGAATTGCCACCATTCTGCATGATCTCAATTACCTCCATACAATCCGCCTCCATGTAGATTTTGTTGCAGCCCATATCATTAGCCAGAAGAAGCCCATCCCTAAGACCCCGAGCTTCTGCTGTCCCGGCATCTTCCACGAACGGAATATCAACACAAGATGCAGCCAAGAAAAAACTCGTGTCATCACGTAAAATTGCACCCGTACTCCGCGTACCTCTGTCTTGATCAAACATAGCATCAACATTGAGTTTAACTAGACCATCCGGTGGCTTGTTCCATCCATGTCTCCTAATTTTCATATTTTTGGACTGTGCCCATGTGAAGTTTTTTGTCAAAGCCAAAATTGCTTGTGCTGATCTCGTTGGCTCAAAAAGGAGCTCACCATGAGTGAAATGGCGACACTCCCACCACACATATCAGACACCTATGGCCAGTAGATCATTGCGGTTAACATCGGCCACCAACGAATGAATTTGATTCCTGGACAGTAGCATATCCGCCAGCACAGATCCCCCTTCCGTTTCAGATGTACATACCTCATTGATCAAGGGTCCCAGACCTAGAATTTGCCATATTTCTTGCACTCTTGGGCACAGAAACAAAGCATGCCTAATGCTCTCACAGTCGGATGTACAAAGCGGGCATTGGGAACTAGTTATCATATGCCTATTTGCAAGGACTCTGTAATAGGGAATGGCTCCAAGCAAAGCTCTCGACACATGGATTTTTATTTTTGCCGACACACACAATTTCCAAATGGTTCGCCAGACTGGACTAGTACTTGAGGCTTGAACTGAGTTTGTCATTCTCAACTTTCATCCATACTAGTGCTCCCATTCTTCATGGTAAGCCGATCTAATAGAAAAAATCCCACTTCTGTTAAAGTGCCATGAGACAAAATCACCCATCATACCCACTACCAAAGGGATGTTCATAATTCGTTACACATCAATAGGCCAAAATATATCATTTAGTTGTTCATCCCACGTCCTATTTTCAACATCAATGAGTTCAGAAACTCTTGTAATCAAAATGTTACCTCTCGATGTCATAACTTTTCGTGTAGGACTGCTCGGTATCCATGGATCTTCTCATATCTTAATTTGAGAACCATCGCCTACTCTCCAAATATGTCCTCGCTTGAAAGTTTGAATACCACTCCACGGACTCTTCCATGTGTATGAGCTCCCTTTCTTTAGACTACAGTTGAGGAGGTCTTCATGAGGGAAATATTTGGCCTTTAGAACTCTAGCACATAAACAATCTGGTTCACTTAACAATCTCCAACACTGCTTAGCCAAAAGGGCCAAAGTAGAACAATGCAAATCTCTGAAGCCCATGCCGCCCCTCTCCTTAGGCACACACACATTTTCCACCATGCAAACCAATGCATGTGTTTTTTCAGGTCCTCATCTCCCCACCAATGCTTAGACATTGTCGTGGTAATACTATTGCATATCTGTTTAGGTAACTTAAAAACTCACATGGCATAGGAAGGAATAGCCTGTATCATTGCCTTGAGTAATACCTCCCTACCACCAAAAGATAGCATTTTTCGTTCCAACCTCGGATTCTGCTAAGCACTCTATCAATGATATGCTAAAAACAATATGATCTATCAACACCCACGATAGGGGGCAGCCCCAAGTATTTGTCCGTGATTGCCTCCGCCATGATATTCAGGGTAGCGCACACCTCAACTCTAGTCTCAACCGGTGTACAAGGGCTGAAGAAAATGCTTGATTTCGCCTCACTCATCAACTGTCCTGAAGCCATACAATAATCATCAAGGGCTCGTCGTAGGCTGATAGCGTTAGCAGCATCCTCCCTCATCAAGATAAGAGAGTCATCGGCGAAAAGTACATGTGAGACCGACGGGGTGTCCCGACACACCTTGAATCCCATCAAATTACCAGCCTCTTCTTCATGCACAATCAAGCTGGAAAGACCCTCGGCACAAAGCAAGAATAAATATGGAGACAGTGGATCCCCCTGTCCGAGCCCCCTAAAAGGAACAAATAAGTTAATTAATTCATTATTCACCCGTACCTAGTATTTTATTGATCTAACACACTCCATAATCAGGGCCACCCAATTAGCAGTGAACCCTAGACGTAATAAAATCTTCTCCAAGAAATTCCATTGCACTCTATCATACGCCTTATGCATATCAAGCTTCACCGCACAAGTACCATATTTACCGGTGTTCTTCCTCTTGATTGCATGGTATGATTCAAAAGCCACCAAGAAATTGTCCGTGATGAGGCGCCCTGGCACAAACGCACTCTGGTTTGGTGATATAATTTTCGTCAAGATATATTTCAGCCAGTTAGCAAGGAGCTTTGAGATCACTTTGTATATTATGTTACATAAGCTAATTGGCCCAAATTATGTAATAACATCCAGACTCTCTACCTTAGGAATAAGCACAATGATAATATTGTTCCATCCATCTGGGATCTTTCTTGAGTTCACTGCTAGCAACACTTCATCAATCAAGTCCTCCCCTATAATGTGCCAAAACTGCTTGTAAAAAATAGCATGCAGGCCATCCGGGCTGGGTGCTTTCAGATCACCAATGTTAAACATAGCTTTCTTCACTTCCTCTCGTGTATACGGTTTATTGAGATCATCATCCATTGCATCAGACACACGCGGTTTAACCTTCTCAATGACATTTATATCTGGTTCTAGTACCCCTGAGGTAAACAAAGCTGAGAAGTATTCTGCAGTATGTGTTTTGACCGCCATTATCTCTTTTTAGGCGCTTAATAAAAAAAATCTTGCGCCGTCCATTTGCTGCTCTATGAAAGAAGTCCGTGTTTCGATCTCCTCTAGTGAGCCAATCAGCCCGACCAGTTGGAGCCAATAAATTTCCTCCCGTTCAAGAAGATTTTCAATCTGCATATGTAATTCATGCTGCCTAACCATTGCATCATCTGTCAATGGACCTGATAACACTTCATTTAATTTTTTCTGTAGCTCTCGCAGCCTGGTCCTCAGCCCCTTAAGAACCTCCTTGTCCCATTGATGCAGTGCAGCATGTATATCTGTAGTTATCCAAAAGATTGACCTTTGTTTGAATAAAGACCAACTTTCTAACGAGCTAACGTTTACTTACCAATTCTAATATATTTTCTAGCCTAAATTGATCAAAGACATAAATCTCAACTATTCCCTTCGCCCCATAATATTTTAGCGCTCATATTATGGGACGGATGGAGTAAAATTTTAGCAACTAATTTTCGGTACCCCTAAAAATACCATAGTAGTGTATAAGAGTTTTTTTAAGAAGAAGTACTGTATAAGAGTTGAAGCCATGACGGTGACGCAGGAGAGCCGTTCATCGGTTAGCCCGACGCCCTTGTACCCTTCTTCCTCGTGCGCTCCGCCAGACTGCGACGCGCCCGCCGTGCTCGTCGCTCTTGCTTGAGCTTCCAAAGCCCCAAAGCCGCCGCTTCCCCACCCGCCGCTACAAATAACCCCCTTCCTCCTCGCACGCCACGCTGCCCCCTCTGGCTTACCGCCTCTCCTCCGCCTCCGCCTCCCTACGCCACCTCATGGCCGCCGCCACCGCAGCCGCCGTCGCCTCCCCGGCGGTCACCGCCCCCTTGCCTCGCGCCGCCTCGTCCGCGGCGCGCCGGGGCTTCGTCTCCTTCGGCGGGGCCGCCGCCCGTCCGTCCGCGCTCCGATCCGACCGCCTCCGGGCAGCCGCCGCCGGCTTCTCCTCCGGTAACGGCCCTTCTCTTCGGTCGTCGTCGCGCTGGTTTGGTTAGGCCACTCGGGGTCTGAGATCTAGCTGTTGTAGCGTGGCGCAGTGAGCAATCTAGCGCGGGGATGTAAACATGTTTGCTCGTGAAATTTGGGGAGGATCTAATACGAGTCCATGAGCACTTGGAGCAAACACTACTGTTGTGCGTCGTTAAGCTTTATCAAGTGTCCCCGTTTAAATTTTGTGAGAAATGGTACTCTTGTAGGAGTGAGATCAGGGTTGAAAATATGCTATTAGAGCATCTCCGGCAGATTTTTTTTACTAGGAGAGACACGTAGCCACACCTTTAACTTGTATGAGCTGACTTGACATATTGGGGTTTTAGAGAGCTTACCACATATGTCATGTGGTGAGCATCTCCAGCAGATGATGAAAAAACTCCGCCGTGTTGTAAAAACGGTGTTTACGCCACTTTGGGCCCAAAAGGCCTGCTCCAATAGCTGCTGTATATGTAACGTTGTTGCAATTTTTTTTAGGCAAGCCTAAATTTTGTCTTGTGCTGCTGCATATTTGCAACGCTGCTACGGCTGTTGTAAAAACGCAGGGCCACATGAAAAACGGCCTTTTAGGCCACTTTGTGCCAAAAATGCCGCTCCAACAGATGATGAATATGCAAAAACGCAGCCGTGATGAAAAAAGGCCGTTTAGGGCACCACTTTTACATCATACGGTGATTTAAAATCTTCTTTCTCCTACCCATAGTGGATGCTCTTAGAGCATGTAATGGAGGTGTTTGGGTATGTTGCTTACTTAAAATTAAAAAAATTCTGGGTTTATGCAATGTCAGATGCACCAGATGATTTTACTGTCTATGTAGTGCTCCACTTTGTTTTGTCTCTTGACTGAGTGTTAAGCTTAAGTACTCCCTCCTACACAAATGTAGGATGTTTTTGCAGTTTAAATTAAACTGCAAAAATGTCCTACATTTGTTTACAGAGGGAGTAAATGGTTGAACAATTTAAGCACCATTATAACATTGCTAGCATTGGAGGTCTCTCTCTAAGCACTCCTGCAGGTGTAAATTCAGGCCTAAATTCTGTGTTGGGAACTTCTTTGTCTGTACATTTTGCAGTACTAATCAAATGTATCTGTAGGTGTGCGCACCCACGTTGCTGCTGTTGAACAAGCAGTTGTGCAAGATGCTACAGAGCTGGAAGCTCCAGTTGTTGTTGTTACGGGTGCTTCCAGAGGGATTGGAAAAGCCGTTGCATTGGCTCTTGGAAAAGCTGGCTGCAAGGTGAGCTACTTCGCTGTCTTAGATATTCATTCGGTATGTGCAGAAAGAGTTGGTT